CATCACTGTTTTATCTTTTTCTCTCTTTAAAATATTTCAAAACCCTAGATCTTGAGTTTCTCTTTCTAAAACTCACAATCTCTCTACATTTTCATCTAGATCCATTGGGTTATCTACACTAGTGTCTTTGGAAAAAAGGTAAAGCTTCTCAAGGGCTACATTTTGATCTGAATACACCTTGGTTTTGGCATCTTTGGAGTTCCTACATTGCTTTGCTTGCCTTCTCACTTTGAGGTAGAAACTTTCTACACTTTCCTATGATTTTTAACTTAGTTATTTGTAGATTGTGTAACTAAGGTTGGTATTTGGAGGATTTTAGACAAACTTAAGTTTTAGTTTAAAATCGAAAAAGGGGTTTTCAAATGGAGGTATTGAAAATGGTTATGGGTATAGATATGAGGTTGTGTTGTGTTAAATTTGTTAATTTTGACACATGGGATTGGATTTGGAAGGAAATGGAGCCTTGCCCTAAAATGTTTAGAAGGATTATTTTGTATAAATATTGAAATTGGTATTGGAAATGTGAAATTAGATGAATGTTTATATAAATGGTGGAGTTGGTTACTCGTTATCTCTCATCTATGGAAATTTGGATAATTTATCTATTTTGGAGATTGTATATCTGTTTAGAAATATCTGTTTTGGGCTATAGGTGGATGATAGCTATGATTGTTGTAAAAATTGTATGAGGATTAGGTGAACTAGAACTAAACTCTTATTTGTTGTCATTAAATATGACCGTGTGTTAATACATTGTATATGTATGATGTTTGAGAGAAGAAATGAGATGAACTCCATTAAATGAAGTTGGCTTGTGTGTCCATGGTGAAAGTCTCAAAAATCATGCATATATATGGGTGCCGATTCCCGCGGACGAAATTTTCACAAAATGGCAAATGGAAGTGTTTGTATGATAATTATGTTGGTTTGAGACCCACTGAGTTGTGTCCTCAATTTGGTGTCTAGAATGAATGAAGTTAACTTATAAATTGAGATAAAATGAATTGAGACATAATGAATTGAGATAATATAAATTGTGATATAAAGCTTGGCATGGCATGGTTTTGCAAAAGAGTCCTAAATGGTTTTATCATGGGCATTGGACATGCATCTCATACTTATATCTTTGTTAAGATTCATATATTGTGTTAGATTGTTTCTACTGGGCTTTGGTTCACCCTATTTGGGAAAAACATTTTCAGGTGCTGGTGATATGCCTTTGCCAAGAACTTAGCTTAGGAGGATTGTGGAGTTGAAGGCTCACTTTTTTTTTATTCTGTACTTACTTGCTTTTCAAGCCTAGGGCTTTATTTGTATTGAGCTGATGACTCCTTTTGTTGTAATCAAGTATGGTCCTGGAAAGATGTAAGCCATTAGGGCATATGAATTTCTGTTTAGCTTTCATTTCTTATTTCATCTTGTAACACATGCTGCAGATTCAGGATGAACGGTTTATGAATGTATATCGCATATGTCAGCTACGATTAATGAAAGCTTCTTATTTTATTTATATCACTTCGTACTAGTGGTCGGAGTTGGATTCTTGTAATTATTTTGGGGGCGTTATATTAGGACATGCCACATGTCTTCACCATTCTCTTTTGATTTCAAATTTGTGTATAAAAGGAAAGGCGTCACCCTTGTTGAAGCATGGATAATTTTTAGTTTTTCTTTTGAAATCTTCCCCCCCTCCCAATCTCTCTCTAGCGTGTAATAATAAGTAGATGTACTGCCAGTTTGGAGCAATAAAAATATTTTGTAACTATTTATTCCATGAATGCCTATTGAATTACTTGTTTATTTACGTGATATATTAGCATTTCATAAACATAGACATTCTTTATATTTAAACTTACTTTTAGATAATTATTTATGACCATCTATAATACCGGTACTTGCAGAGCTTGATCATCAAATAGGTCTTACAGAACAGTAGATCCAAGGGGAGATCTGTCGTTTGGCGGCCTTTCTTAGCTCTCCTTCCCAACAGTATATGCAACCATGTATGGCATAATTTAAGTTAAGTATAATTTCAATATGGGTCATAGTATTCCTGGGCTTGTGCTAATTCGAGACTGATCAGATTGAGGGTAAGTGGGATGTCACCTAAGTCGCGTATAGGGTTTAGGGCCGTTGTTGTAGTGATTGTGTTTAGGTTTGGTTCCCAGTAAGCTATTGACAAATGTGCTTATCCTAATCCCTATGTCAAATGCCTAATTGGTATCAAAGCCATGTTTATTACAATTCATATTAAGTTTATACTTTACTTAAATTATACATATATTGTCACCAGTAAACATCATGAACACTAAAACTTTAGCAATTACTTTCGTAGCTAATACAGTAGCTTCTACATTAGAAGTAGCAGAACTTGTGGCTTACTAAGATGTGAAAGAACCCTTAGACAAATGGACAATTCCAAATGTCAAATCAGATACAATTTATAAAATTGAAACTTTTGAATTCACTAGTAAAAAGTTGATCAAAACTTTTGAGCATGCAGCTCCCCTTAAGAATAATGATGAAATAATAAATTACTTCATATCCAAGATCTTGCACCCTTTTTCAAAAAATACAGATACATTCATATAGGACTTTTTCAAATAGCCTTCAAGCCTTTAACCTTGTTAGGCCAGAATACCAGCATCTAGTGTACCCTTAGAGATAGTAGATGTACTAATTGGCAAGCTTCTCTTATGGGCGCCATTGAAACTAGTTTATCTCTTGGATCAGTTTATTTTCATATATATCCAAATTTAAGTGTGTCACTTTTTGACCCAAATCTTTCAAAAGTCTTAGAGCTAAGAGTTCTTACTCATGGTTTTGAGTATTTACCAGGATCACCTCCCATAGTAGCAATCTTTAGGATCCATTTGAAGGTTTTGACAACCTTAAATCCGTACAACAGAAGACGTAGTGAAACAGGCCATATTGTCCTGATAGACACCAACCTGTTTAACTCCCAGGTAGCAGTCCCCAGAATGATAACATAGAAGGATATTACCTTTCCAGAAAACTAGCAAATACCCAATGATGTTCCAACGAGGCCTATAGTATGTCAAACTCTTAACCAAGTCATTCAGACACAAGGAGGAAATGTATACCTCTAATTCCGTCGACCTTTGACTAGAAGTATGTCTTGTACTGGCTCCAGGTTTACACCATCTTATAGAGTAGATTTACCTAACTCATCTAGACAATCTACTTTAGAACTCCAGAATCTGTCTTACAAGGTTTGCCCTCCAAACCACCTAGTGAACCACCACTACAATCTATAATTCAGAAAATTCATATTTTCGAAAACCAAATACCTCATGGAGTGTATAACACCAGTAGGCCATCATATGATAGGGAAAGCCCTACAACTAGTGACATGAATTTTGAGATTTGATGGATTTTTCACCAGGTAGTGAAACTCGTCGTCTTATTAACCAAAATTCATGCAACCCAAATACCAAGAACTTAGACAGTGGTACTTTAGCTATCACAATCCTCAACAGCTTGAGTGATTAAAAAACCATTATTATTTTCATCTAGAAAAACAACAAAAGATTATCTCTTTTCCTGAGTGGTATTTTGAATTTGCCACTATTATGGAACTTCTTCCAGAACCACAACTTAATGTCTTAGATGATTTACACAAGACTTGGTTGACAACAAAAGGGAAAAGTTTCAAATCGATACATCCTCCACCACAGTCCTTAGAGCTAGTGCCTAGCTTAGCTTTCTTTTCTAGTGCCCCGTTGGTTATTATAGCTTTTGTTAAACCAACTGATACTCTAGAGAAAAGCGACCCTAGAAAGGTTACTGTGGCTCCCCTTTTTCGCACCCCCTTTCAGAAGGTTTGAAAGAAAGGCCTCACAGTTCGGACTCCCGCGGTTCTGAATCTAATTTCACAAGTGCAATGTGAAATTGATAATTGCCAAAGAGTCCAAATCCGTCAAATCTTTTGGAAAATTGATTTTAGGATAAAAAACGCCAAAATTGGAATGCTTTTCTAGATACAGAGTCGCCACCTAAATATTTTTTGTTTTGGAAAAATTTAGGAAATCCTGACTTGTGCCAAAGGTCACGTGTTCGTCATCACCAAAGTTGCCTCGGCTCGGGAACTTAGGTACAAGAGGGGAAGGTCATAAATTGTGCACCCCCGCTCGCCCGATCAAAGATCGGCCTCTACTAATCATGATATGATATTTTATAAACATTATGCGTTCTTATTCTGGTTATTAAACTAACTTCACTATGTAATGTGTACAAGCAAGTATAGACTAGTTTGCTCGATTTGGAACAATTCAACTTATGTTTGTTTGCGAAAATGGTTTGAATTTGCCACCTCAAGTGAGCTTAAAGATGCGAATTTGCCACCAAACATAATGGGCATAAAACATGATTTGCCACTCAACAAAGTGGGCTTAAAACGCACATTCGTTCAATTGTTCAAATTCAAACAACAAGCCTTCATTCACAGGCATTCAAACAGTTTAGCATTTAAGCACATAACCTCATGGAAAGTATGCTAATCATGGCAATATTCACACTTATGCAAGTATGCTAAAGCATAAAAACTCACCTAGTCACTGCAACAAAACTGAGTTTTTACGGCTTCATATTAACGACATACAGTAAATGCAAGTCGTGATTTCTCACTTTTATGGCTTGCTTTTTTCGCACGTCGCAAATAATTTCCAACCACGACGTGTTTGTTGCATAGGTCGTGAATGCTAATAATGATGATTTTTTTTACGACTTGTAATGTTAGTCGTAAATAATAAGGTTTTCTATGACATGCATAGGACATGTCGTTAATACATTAACTATACACGACACATATATGCTAGTCGTTAAATATATTTCACTTTCACGGCGCACAATTTATGTCATGAATAATATGAAAAAAATAGGTGGCAAAGTAAAAAAAAATAAAAAATTAGGTGGCAAACACTAAAACACATATTAAAAAAAAAAAAAAAATCAAACCTCTTGGGCTTTTTATAATCAAAAGAACTAGGGTTCATCAAAAGGCACAGAAGAGAGAGAGAGAGAGAGAGAGAGAGTGAGTGAGTGAGTGAGTGAGTGACCATAACCCTTGCTCCACCATTATTGCTCTTTCTGTAGTGAGAAACAAAGGCAAAAGCAAAATCAAAAGCCCCATCACTATTTCGAACCATCGAATTGTTTTCCTCTAAATCCCTCAAGTGCGTCCATCAATCGCTTACTCTGCAGTTTTTCCAGTCGACAAGACGACCCAATCGACATGGCGAAGTACCGAGAAGCTTTCGCAAAGAGGATGGCCACGGCTGGTCTCAACCCTCATCACCGTATCGGTCTCTCTCTCCATACTCTCTTCTATTCGTTTGATTCTTTTTTTTTTTCACAAATATTTGGATTTGTTGAGTTTATTTGTTTTCATTTTCATAGGTGAATTAGATTCTGGACTGTTAAATTCACCAATCGTTGGGCTGATGTTGATGAACAGGGCTACAGCTACGGTTTCTCTGCTGTTGTATCTATGCTATCTAGGCTGTCTCTGCACCGTGCTGCCTCTGTGTTTGTTGAATTGGCCTTTTGTGGCTTGTTTCTGTCATTTGCTGGTTGCAGTTTTCTTTTTGTTGTTGGTTATTTTGTGCAAGACCCCTATCTTCTACTGGACATGGTTCTTGAACAATATTTTGTTCGGTTTGCTGTGTGGTGCCTATGCTCAATGAAGATGGTTGAATGGAGGTTTTTTTAGTTAGTTTGTTAAATTTTTTTTCCCCTTGTTTTAAATGTTTTTTTTGTTGGCTGTTGTTGTGTGGCTTTGCTTCAGTGGTTTCGTTACATGTGGCTTCTTAGCTGTTGTGTTGTGTTGTGTTGTGTTGTGTTGTGTGGGTAGGGCCTGGGCCATGCCCCTTGTAAACTTGTAAATTCTTCTATTCTATTTTATGTCTTATTCACCCAAAAATAAAATATTTCACCAGTCGAAGCCAATTAGTTGTTCGCATTTAGGCAATACCAGTGAGATTTTACTTCATTATTTCCAAATGACCTAAATCTGAGCAAATAGCAAAACGAGGAATCAGTAAAAATTGAGTATTTCCGTAACTACTCCATTTGGTAATTGGGAAACAGAGGATAGTCTATAAAAACCAAATCTTGAATCTTTTTTTTCTTCTATATTTTCATAAATAATTTTTAGCTTTCACTGTGAATATTTCTTCTCCTCCTAAGTGGTAGCAACTTGCAAGGAAGTTCTATTATATTGAACAATTCTTGACCAAGATGAAATCATTTTTTAAGATTCTAACTGCTCTAAAATTTTCTTGTTAGGTGAATATGAGCATTGCAATACTTCCAATGTCACAGGAGTTTAACTGGAACAGTGCAATAGTTGGTCTCATCCACTCTTCTTTTTTTGGGGCTATCTCCTCACTCAGGTTGACTCAAACATTGGCAGTTTTTGCTTTTTAGAAAAGGCAATTTTAGAATGTATGTTAAACTCCATAAAGTGCTTTTTCTAACTTCCACCACCCACATATATGGTTCTAAGGGGTTTAAAATTGTTTTTTTTTTTTTTTTTTTCCCCTAACTGGTAATTGCTTCTGATCTTCAAATGTCATTTATATGTTGTATCAACCCTGATACTTGGACTTTTTAGAATTGTAATGCAGATATATCTAGCGCGCGCACACATACTCACACAACCCTTCTTGTTTATCAGCTATAGTGGGTCTTGGTCCTTTTATCTGGGAACAATTAACTGTCATGATTTTGAATCTGTATGTCTCTGGCTGTCATCATCTAAGCCAGTGGTTGAAATTGTAATCCACATACTGGTGATTGTACATTTGAAATAGTGATCAACTCTTCACTGCTCTTGATGACATATTGTCCTTCTATGTAATTTTTTTTTATTAAATGTCAAAACTTAATTCTTGCCACCCTTCTTTACTAACTGGATTTTGTTTATATTTCTTTGGCAAATAGATTGTTGGAGGTATCTGGGTAAATAAAATTGGTGGGAAACTAGTATTGGGTTTTGGAGTGATCTGGTGGTCAGCTACAACAGTTTTGACACCTATTGCTGCTAGAGTTGGGCTTCTTCTTGCTTGTCATGCGTGCCTTTATGGGGATTGGTGAGGTTAGCCTATTCTTATGCTCCTTTGAGGTGCTTTTATAGTTTACTGGACTAAATGGATTTACCTTTTGAAATTATTTGATGATTCATTTTTTTCTTTATTTTTTCAAATTCAGAAATAATATTGCACATAACCAATTTGAATCTAGTCTACCTTTGGAGGGTGTTAATTGTTGTAGTTTGGCTTCTAAAATGAATAATGAAAACTACACTTGGTTTCCCTATGAAATGGGGCTTCCAAATGATGAAGCACCAGTGAGGTATTTTACTGGTACAACACTGACATCTTAGTCAATTGATTACCTAAAAATCTCTATCTATTGTCTAGTGCCGGATGCTATGATGCCTAAAGCTACCATATTGTTGGCTAAATGTCAAATTCAAGGTTCAACCATCTTGTTTATTGGCAGCAAAGAAGCAGGTCTTACTAGTTTTCAGTTTTGGATGAGAGGATTTTGTGGTATTCATCCAATGATGACTACTCTATATTCCCAAAACATTTTTTGTGAAGGTAAGTTGAAGTCTGATATTTTTGTATAGTCTAAATAGGGAAGAATGTGTTATATGCAGACAATTAACTGATGGAAGCACATAGAACATGCATTAGGCCGCATAACTCACAGCACAGCTTCATCCGATACCTACTTCATGGCATTATTCTCTAATTGCATTGCTACATTGTCATCTTGTTGCGGTTGTGTGCTCATATTGCTGCACCTTTCCTTTTCATATTAAAAAAAATCTCTATGCTATCCTTTTTTTTTTCCTTGCATGTTTGGAAAAAAATTAATTTTCTATTTTGTTCCACTTACCTCACTCTGGTTTATATTCTTGATGCAGCTGCTGATGTATCTGATGTTGATTGCATATTGAACTGTGATAGTGAATCAGTCTCCATCAGTGCTAACAATCTCGAAGCATATTTACACCTACCAATTGTGGTATGTGATGTTTTATCACAATTATTTAGGGACTTAAGGGATCTAACTATTTAAAGGTTGGAACCTTTTATTGGTCTCTTTTAGTAATTGTCTTGCTAATTTTCTGAATTTTTTCTCTTTATTTCTGGCCAGAACTCAAAATTGGGCAAGTTTTCTTTGTTAAGAAATTTCCTTTCTGCGTTTAATTTTGCAAAGATAAACCTAAGAAGAGAGAGGAAACTTCTAGTTTGCTGCAATAATGGTAAGTGTAATGTTCATTTGCTCTGTCTTTCCCTGTAGAGTTATACCAAGAGACATTAGGATCTGGCATGGGAATGACATTGATCCATGTAGCAGTTGGACTTTTGTTATTTTGTTTTGCATAGCATATAAAATGTTTGCTTTCTATAATATGTAACATTATTTTAGGATCTCCGTTCTTTGCAATTAAATAAAAATTTCAGCGCAAATTGCAACATGGGAGGTTCTTCAGCAATATGACTAACTAGGATATTGAAGCAATAGAGGCAATTATAGCAGATCAGAAAGTCCAATATTCCAATATCATCCAAGTGTCTTTAATAACGAATTAGCTAAAAGGAATCAATCAGAGAAGCAATACTTTGAAAAGTATTCAAAAAGTGTGGAGGTTGAGAATTTGATATGATTTCAAAGATGTTCAAATCAACAAGAATGAAAGTTCAGAATCTGCAGAAATACATAGCACATGAAACTAAATAATAAATTAGATAACAGTAGACAGCAACATGTCATGTGGATTGTATTTTATATGCATGACCGAAGACCATGAAGTTTAAAACCAATATGTCAGCCATTTGAAAACTTTATGTATGTCCTAAAACAATGCTATGCTGTGGCAGATCAAAATATTGATGACAAAATAAAGAAAGTTTATGGCTATTGTACAAGACTTAATGGAGTGGTAATGTCAAAAAGATGTTCAATATGAATTCGATATAGGTACTGGTGGAGCATCAGTGGCTCAATCTAACACAACTAAGAACCCAGATATCTAGAAAAACGTGATCATTTGTTTCCCAAATTTCCCTTGAGTTATCAATTTAAAAATGCAAAGAAAAAATTAATTTATTCAACACGCTAAACCCCAAAGAAAGCTTGCCACTCAACTAAAAAAAGTGCAGCATTACCAAATCAGGTTAATCTGTTTGATGAGCCTCTTATGCTTACAAGACATCTATAAAATCATTTTTTTCTAAAAAGTCCATTGGTCCAGTATGATTCAAGGTTGACAAAAGTCAGCATTAATCTGTTTATATATAAATATATATATATATATATATCATCTGACTGTCCTGTTGACAATCAGAATTGAAAGAGATTGGCAATTTACAATTCATCTCTTTATGTAAAATTTCTATCTATAGGACGCATCCCATCATTTGCTTTGAAAAATGAAAGAATCCTGCCCAATACAGAGTTCAACTTGAGTTTGATGAGAAGATATAAAGTAAATTTATTTTGAGCTAGATGGGGACATAAACCTTGCTTCCGCTAGGTATTTAGGGACATTGGACATGCTTTCCATGCTGCCAGCTACAACATCATTGATGCCCAACTGGATACTCTGCGTTGCAAGCATAGTTGTTGCAATGACCCAAAAAAAATACTGATATTACAGTCCAATATTGCTTTAGTAGAAAAGAATACTGCCCATCACTATCTTCTTACAATTTTATGTTATCACTTATTTTGAATTTGTTATGTATATTGTGCCTCGAGTGATTGCATTATGTTGTGTGTTTCTGGGGAAGGTATTAGTATATGTGCTTCTTTGGCAATCTTGACATCATTATTCACTGATGAAGGTACACTTTTAAGAAATAATTTGTATTTCAAGCCCTAACTTTCTATGAGATATTACGAAGACCCTTCATAGAATTAAACATCATACATAGAGATCCTTTAACATAATTATGCAAGTCCCAAGTAGTTGCTACATTGAAGTAGACTAATTCTACCTCTTTTTAAATTTAATTTTTCTCGAGTTTCTTATGACCTCAATTTAATGGCAAATTATATTTTCCTGTACGAACTTAATGGTTTATTTGAAGAATCCTACTCATTTCCCTCTAGAAACATTACAACAAAAGAGGTAACTTTATTTGAGGTATGAAAAAAAAAAAAGGTTTGCTTTATGTGGATTTTATTTGCATATACATTGAGACTATTGAGATCTTGAATTTTTGCTAATTTCTCATTATGATATTACTTTTATGGGGTCATTGAATTATCTTATTAATTTTAAAAATATTTTGGTGATGTTTTAAAATTTCTTAATCATTTCTTAATACTTCAAGAAATATTTTTTGTCTCTGAGTCGTTGGTTTTTGTATTTATGTGAAGTTTCCTTTATCATGCAGACAAGAAATGCAACAGGGCTAGTTGCTCCAGCTATTGCCGCGGGTTTAGATGCCTTAACACATACATTGGGCACCCTCGTCCCTGTGAAGTAGATTTGCTACAATTGCAACTACAACTACTATAGGAACTGTTGTCGGTAGTTTTAGATAATCTTTTAATAGTTGTCGATATGTTTAGAAAGTTAGATATGCATAGTTTTGGATGGTTGAAACTTTTTGTACAATTTAGAACTTAGGGATATAGTTTTCGACTATTTGGGATGTGTCGATAATTGTTGAATGTTTATGATTTATGGATATAGTTTCTTTTTGATGTTTCAAACAATATTTTGGTGGTTGATATTGACGTTTTGTGAGGCTTGTTTGTAATATTTGTTAGATTGTGCAAAATTGGTCAAATAGAACCCTTCTGAATCTAAATTTTTTTTTTTTGTATATTCTACGACAGGCATAATAAGTCATCGTATTATACATTTTACGGTGCACAAATAGCGTCGTTATTTGTCTCACCAATTAACGGCGTGCAAAAGTTGTCGTAGAAAAAGTAGCAACGACGCACAAAATTTGCCATTAAATAGTTTTTAACGGCGTACTATAGCATGTCGTAAAAAAAGTAACGACGACACACAAAATCTGTCGTTAAATAGTTTTTAACAGCGTACGAAGCATGTCGTTGAAAATGACTTTCTATGACTGGTCATAATATGACACGCGCTGCATGTCGTAGAAGGGTTTTTACGGCGTGCATTGCGTGTCGTAAAAACCTTTTTTTTGTTGTAGTGAGTACTCCAAGCTAGGAAAACATGAGTTAGTAAAATATGCATGATTCCTAACTATACAAGATGTCTAATGCAACACATGCAATACGCAATGAATAGGCTCGGCTACTAATATGGCATATGATTTGATTTGAACAACATGCGATTAAATACGTATTCAAAGAAGATATTAAAATGACAATGCAGTTTGAATGATGCACCGAGTCTCGGTGCATGCAATACGAATGAATAGATACGAGCATGCGATATGCTAATTAAAACATGTTCCAAATCTAATCATCAAAAGAGATTAAATAAAAGGGAGAAGACGTGGGGTTGGAAAATATATATACATGCACGCACACTTATTACAACATTACGCCCTCGCGAAGAAGGGTCCGAATGAATAAGCTAACCAACTAGCTACGCTAATTAAGCTAACTAATTATTACAAACCGAATTAATCCGAATGAATAAGCTAACCAACTAGCTACGCTAATTAAGCTAACTAATTATTACAAACCGAATTAATTAACTATTCTAGTTAACTAATTATTACAAACCAAAATCGAATAACTAGTTAAACTAACTAATTATGTACAACACTTAATTAGTTACAACTAATTACTTGCGACACGTATTTGATCTATTTCTAATTAAACTAATTAGCTAATCCCGGAAGTGAGGGATGCATGCATGCTCGACTTTTCACCTGAAAAGCCACTGTCTTGCTGCCGAAAGCCTCTGTTTGCACATATGAACGCCAACAAAGTTGTCCACTTCTAGAACACCTCTGCTCCACCTTACCAACAAACTATAAAAATTTCACTAATGGCCGACAAGGAGCCGGTCAACTATCAACGGTGGCCGGTCGGCTATCAATGGTGGCCGGTCGGCCACTGCTGGTTTGAACTTCCTTGCTGTAACAGAAAGCAAAACATAGCAAAACAATGTATTTCTCAAGGATTGTTTGCACACTTTGCCTCTCCTTTTCATGGGAAAATCAAAGGAGGGACAAAATTTGGTTCACAAACCATCAATCAAGCAATTTTATTGCATGACGGCTTGTGAAACCAATTGTGCAAATTTCAATAAATGCAAAATGAGACCAAAGAGACCATCACCTTATCAAGCATGATCAAGGGCAATGGAGACTAAGGAAAGTAACACATTTCATCATTTTTGAGTACGAAATATCCCATTTTCCTTATGTTCAAATTAGCATCTGATTTAAACACATGCAATGCAACACAAAGAATGCTTATCTTGCCTCTTTTACTTGCCAATTTTGTTTACTCATTTTAATGACCAAATCATTCATTAATCCATTAAGTCCCTTGGTAAGTGTCCTCTAATGGAAGGAGGGCTCAAACCACAAGTTGCTTTGGGCACGAAAGAGGCATTACACTGCTGGTAATGAACCCCCTAAGGGATTAAACCATTAGGTGTAGCATCTTTATTTCACACATAGGCAAACAAGTGGTTTGAAACCACTTTCAAAGCAAAACCAAAAGGTGAAGAAATGAGGGAGATTGCAGAGATTATAAGTGCTGAAATGAAGTAGAAAAAACACTAAAACATGCAATCAACTCACACCAATAATGGTTAAAGCCTTAAAACACTAAGCTAGTGAAAATTGTTACACTACAACCATGTAAAACAAGACTCAAACGAACTAACCAGCCCAAAAGAGACCTAAAAGAGGTTATTTTATAGGCTAAAACATGCTGGACTTGAGCTAAGTTAAGCTAGAAAAACATGCTAACATGTAAAGCTAACTAGGCATGCAAACAGACACAAGGAGGGGAAGCTAAACCCTCCAAATTTGGACCTCAAAATAATTTTTTTGCCATTGAAATACCTTTGAAATTCAGTGGTTAAAAAGCCCAAAAAAGTCGATTTGAAAGTGATGAATAAAGGCACAAAAGCTTTACAAACTAATAAGCAAGAAGGGTGAACCACTCCCTAACTAAAAAAAACGCTCGAACCAGCACTTTTAGGCTACAAAAATAGAGTTTTTCTCAGTTCAAAACCAGCCCCAAAATAGCAAGAAAAGATGGTAAAACAAGCTTGCAAAACAAAGTAATCAAGGCAAGTAAACTACCTCTTGAAGCAAAGGAGAATTCTAGGGACAAAACCAAACTAAAACTACCTTCAAGAGCTCCAAGAAGACCCCAAGTAACCTCAGCTCAAGGGTAAGAGGATTTGATTTAGGACGTGTATACAAAAGTATAGAGAAAACAAGCAATTAGGCACAAAATTGTAAGAGAGACAGAAATCTAGAGAGAGATTTTTGCTCTAAGTTTTTCTAACCCTTCAAAATGGGGGAGGAACCCCCCTATATATAGAAAAACATGCCTTCAGCTTAGAAATATCCTACCATACATGTGTAGGGAGATGCAGCTAATTGTGCTAACAGTTGGCACAACTGTTAACAAATATCTGGAAAAAGAGACTGGTGGCCGACAGGCCACACCAATGGCCGGCAAGCACAAGCCATGGCCAACAGCCTCTGGTGGTGGCCGACAGGTCACCACAAGTTCTAGGCACCAAGTTTTGATCCAAAAACAAGGCACAGAAAGGACAAGGTCTAAAGGCCCAAAGATAGGGCATTTCGCCGAGAACTTCGGGCACTCAAAACGAACACATGCAACCATAATCATCAAATGCATAAGTGATGACATCCAAGTCTTGAGGACGGTCAAAAATGGGGTGTCTATAGTTACTGACCTTATTCCTCTCATCAAACAAAATAATTATACCAAACTGCACCTGCAAACAGTAGGAAAACAGCTAACCATAATTGAAGAATTAGTTACTGAATTAGTTAAACATCAAAACAGTAGTTCTAAACCAGAAAAAGATAACTAGTTAGTATCAAACCACCTTTAGAGGTTTCAAACTTTAAGCTTAAACCTCCTAAATAGAATGATGAGTTTATTGGCGCTATTATCAATAAAATGAAAAATATTTGCATAGGATCTTCCAGTCAACAGATTAATATGCTTTCTCAGCAACAGCCTACTTCTCCTTTAGACAGTGAAGAACGTGATAACCTAATGCCATCACAAATCTTTGAAATCTAGAATAGTTTCCAGGAAATGCAATCTTAGAGAGAGAGATTTTTGCTCTAACTTTTTCTAGCCCTTCAAAATGGGGGAGCAACCCCCCTATATATAGAAAAACATGCCTTCAGCTTAGAAATATCCTACCATACATGTGTAGGGAGATGCAGCTAATTGTGCTAACAGTTGGCACAACTGTTAACAAATATCTGGAAAAAGAGACTGGTGGCCGACAGGCCACACCAATGGCCGGCAAGCACAAGCCATGGCCAACAGCCTCTGGTGGTGGCCGACAGGTCACCACAAGTTCTAGGCACCAAGTTTTGATCCAAAAACAAGGCACGGAAAGGACAAGGTCTAAAGGCTCAAAGACAGGGCATTTCACCGAGAACTTCGGGCACTCAAAACGAACACATGCAACCATAATCATCAAATGCATAAGTGATGACATCCAAGTCTTGAGGACGGTCAAAAATGGGGTGTCTATAGTTACTAACCTTACTCCTCTCATCGAACAAAATAATTATACCAAACTGCACCTGCAAACAATAGGAAAACAACTAACCATAATTGAAGAATTAGTTACTGAATTAGTTAAACATCAAAAAAGTAGTTCTAAACCAGAAAAAGATAACTAGTTAGTATCAAACCACCTTTAGAGGTTTCAAACTTTAAGCTTAAACCTCCTAAACAGAATGATGAGTTTATTGGCGCTATTATCAATAAAATGAAAAATATTTGCATAGGATCTTCCAGTCAACAGATTAATATGCTTTCTCAGCAACAGCCTACTTCTCCTTTAGACAGTGAAGAACGTGATAACCTAATGCCATCACAAATCTTTGAAATCTAGAATAGTTTCCAGGAAATGCAATCTGTTAACACGACTTATTTTTCCCAACAGATCTCTCGTATGGCCTTAACAAGACCAAATAGGTATTACTATTCCAGACTTACTCCCCAGGATATACTGGGGGTGTTTGGTGGGGCTTTTTTGAGCCAACTTATAGCTTCTGACTTTTAAAAAGTTATTTTGGACTGTTTGGTTAAACTTATTTCAAACAGCTTCTGATTCTAACAATTTATTTTAAGTCAAAAAAGTTGATTCTGAGAAACTGCTCACCCATTTCTTTTGATTATCAGCTTCTACTGTGGACATATTAATTCACGGTTATACTCTTAGTTTTTTTTTTTTAGTTTTTTAAAAATAGAGAAAAAAACCCAAATGGACTATAAAATATTATTATTATTTTTTATGAGAAATGCAGACAAATAGTAAATAATAAAAAATAAAAGTTAATTGAAAAAGCTACTTCACAACTTATTTAACAAACACTACTCAGCAACTTAAATCTATAATCCAACAGCTATAGCAAACAGATTAACAGCTACAACAAACAGGACCACTTTATAAAGAAGAATTTCTTCACACTCAAAAATCCTATCATAAGAAGACCATTTATGGACTTCAAGTCAAGGTGGATAGATGAACAACACAATTAAACAAGACCTTGCAAC